GCGGGTGGGGGGGGGGGGGGGGGGGGGGGGTGATCCACATGGATGTCCCTCAGGTCGTCAAGAGAGACCAAAACCTGCAAGAGCGGCATCATCCCTAACGGTGGCCGTGCAACGCCACCTAGGGCCCTGATTCCTTTCTTTCCGCCACGGAGTTTCAAGAACTGATCCGTCGACGTGGCAGAAGCAGGTAAATAGATTGGTTCTCTCTCTACACGAAACACACAACAAGAGCGCGGCCATCGGCTAGACTCCTACGAATAGGAAAGATAACTTACATTGCTTGCCCGTTAAAGAAGGAGCAGTCATGCCGCAGGTAGGGTCGGCTCTGAATCTCCTGTATACCCCGCCTCAAACAAAATAGGAATATATGTTGCACGCCAAAGCACAACAACACAAAAGAAACAAAACCAAATGGCGTGAAACAAAAAAAAAAATAACGAGGGCGGAGCGGGAAGCACACATATCCCCTTCCTCAAGCGGTCTCTCACTTCATGAATTGACGGTCTTGCCTAGCCCCATGGGAAGCTTGGCCCCTTACACCACCCCCGACCCGGAGACCCCGTAGGATGGAGGTACCCTACCCCCTCCCCGCCCCGCGGCCGCCGCCATCCCCATCCCCCCCGAAAGGGTCCACAACATGACTGTACAATCGGTGCTGCTGGTCAGGAAGGCGGGTCTGCCGCCGTAGCCCAGGCCTCCTCCGCTTACCGCCGTGCGGGGTTTCCACTTGGCCTGGAGGACCCGCCCCCCGTGGGCCCTCAGCATGGACATCACTCGCACGTCCATCTGATTTGACGATGTGACGGGATCACGCGGCGTGGCACGGGAGAGATCGAAAAGCGAACAAGGGTATGTACATGTAGTTCGGATCTTGCCCATCTACCGCGGAGCTTGCAAGGAGGCGGCCGCGCGTGAAGAGGTTTCTTTGCTGATTGCCTGTGTGCGGCTGTGCCTGCTTACGCGGCGTCTCGACTCGACGCACGCCTGGGCCATACTTTTCGTCCAGAAACGAAGAGAAGGTGACGGTGCGATTGGGGCCAAATGGTTGGGGTTGTTCGGGTGAGGGCACCGTTACGGGTACTGTACCATCATGCTAATATATGCATATCATACCCCCGACCAAAAAAAGTGGTAGATGCCTCCTGACCTCCCTATTGTATGATATGATATGATAGGATAGGATAGGATAGGATAGGATAGGATATGATAGGATAGGATATGATACGATAGGATAGGATAGGATAGGATAGGATAGGATACGATAGGATAGGATAGGATAGGATAGGATACGATATGATAGGATAGGATAGGATAGGATACGATAGGATGAATTAAATAGATGACGGCGGCTACAGACTGCAGGAGAACGTGGGAGGGGATGGGGGATACAAGGCTAACCAGCGCAAAGAAAGAGAACGCCCAAGCGACTGGGCCGCCTCGATGACAAGACGGGGTGATCCTCCCTCTCGCAACACAAAAAAATGGACGCGTCCTTAGTGGCGATACCCACTCAAGCAATGTGATACCCGTCGATTATTCCCCGCTCCTGGTGTTTTTTTTCCTCGCGTTCTCCACATGCAGCAGCAAACATTCAACCTAGCGCCCTCTCAATACGCCTACCCTCCCGCCCTCGCTCCACAGACAACCCGCTCACGGGCATCCGCCAATCGGGCACCCCTCCGCCCCCCCCAAACAAAGGACAGGCCTTACCTCCGGGTCCTCGGCCTCTCCACCGCTCGCACCACCCAGCGCGGGCGGGTTTCCCAAGCGCAAGGAGGCCGTCGAGTGAGTCCCCCGCGGGCGGCAGTCGCACACCCCGATGAGGCCGTCGAAGGAACCCGTGAGGAGGGAAGAGCCGTCCTGGGAGAAGTCGAGGGAGCGGGTCTGGTCGGTGTGGTGCAGGATGGAGGTGAGGGCGCGCCCGGTCCGGATGTCCCACAGGAAGATGCAGCCTCCCGAGTGGGCCGTGGCAACTAGCCTGTGTGTGTGTGTGTGTGTTTCGGGGCGGGGGGCAGGTGGGGGGAGAGGGCGTGGTTTTGAGCCAGGGGGGGGAGGAAGGGCGGGCAGGAGTCCGTGACGACCGACGGTACGCTGCACGTACACCTGACCAGCAGTCCTCCAGAGAGAATGGGTGGTTCGACGACTGCTTCGAACCCTAAATGAAGCGGTAACCCTAACCCTTAACGATAGCCAACCTGACCATGGTGCTAATAAGCCCACGCGGAAGCGTAACAGCCTTGTGCGCCAAGATCCAAACACAACAAAAACTTCCGACCTACTACAAGGTGGGACTACAACCCCATCGCCTCTGCCGCTTGTTCTTCTGCCGCCCTTTCGGGTAGCTAACGCAAAACAGTTCTCACCCTCGCCCTGAAAAGACAGGGTGATTGATGGCGTAGCTGCCTCAATTGTCGAGTCCCCCCCCCCAAAAAAAGAGTTTCGACCGACGACAAGGCACGACTACAACCCTCGCCAATGCCGTTTGATTTTCTACCGACCTTTCGGGGTCTCCGGGCCAAGGCCGGACGCACAACACCTCCTTGCCCTCGACGATCAGAGAGCGGACGCTGTCGCCTGTTCTGGTGTCCCACAGGCGTACAGAGGCATCCGCGCCGCCGGTGACGGCAACCTATTATAGTTGGCCGTGTCGAGTGCGGGAGTCGAAGGTTTGGTAGGGTGGGTTTGGGTGCGAGCCTGTTTCTGGCGGCAAAAACAGTAAACGTTTTTTTTAACGCCGGGAAAGAAAGAATCCAAAAATAGCGGTGCCTAAATACGTGCAAGACGGTCCAGGTAGAATACGCTTCAGGTCACACACCGAAATGTTTGGGATGCTCTCCCGGGTGAGCTACAGTGTTCCATGTGTCCGCAGGGGTGAGTGTCCAGCTAAAGGCACGACGAAGGTCACCAGGCACTGCAACTGTGTACCTCTTGCAACGACAAGAACGCCGGCGACGACGACAATCGCAGGTTGTGGCACGACCGCAAACGCCGCCTCCAGCGCCGCACCACCGAACCACTGGCCAACAACCAAGACAACACCTTCTCCACCCCCCCACCCCCCTCGCCGATGATCCACATACAACGCATCCTCTCACATTTCCGCCGGGGAGCATCGAGCACGAAAATACCGTGTCCGTGTGTCCCCGCAGCAGCACCAGGGGGGCGATCCCCCCTCCGCCGCCAGCCGCAGCCGCACCCCCCGTCACGTCCCACACCCGACACGCGTAGTCCCCGGCGCCAACCGACAGCAGGCGTTCCGACGACGCGGAGGCCGCCGGGGGCCCCGCGAAGGTAGGGGGGGGGAGAGGGTAGCAGAGGTCGCGCACGGTGCCCGTGTGCCCTCGGAGGACGAGGCTACTAGGTTCGGCGTCGCAGCCGTTTCTGTCGCTGAAACCCGGCTGCTGCTGCTGCTGCTGCTGGGATTCCGGTGTGGTTCCGGGAAGCTTGAGCAGCCTCACCAACTTGTCGTTGGAACCTTTTGCGGCGAGAGCGGGGGGGGGGGGGGGCTGAGCATGAGGTGACAACATGCCCTTGTCGCACCTGGAACGATCGGAAATGTGAACATCTACATATATCGCCGTTTCGCGGACTAGGCGAACGTATCACAACACTTGCTCACGTCACGTTTGGGGAAAAGAGCGAAAATGCGCATTGCGTGTCGTTTTTTTGAAGTGCAGACCACAAGACGTCGTCACCTGTGGCGAGCAAAGACGAGTCGGGGCTGAACCCGAGGCAGAAGATGGATCCGAGGTGATGGTTCTCCCTCCTTATCACTTCCGTCGACGGCCACTCCTGGACCGGACTGTCGCTGTCCATCCCTGCACGGCGACGAACGGGAGGGTAGGGTTCACGGGGGCAAAGGTGTATGCATACCAGCATCGATATCAGAGACACGTTCGGGACACAGTCTTGGACGCGGTAGGCAGACGGGAGAGGAACAGCAAAAAATAACCGGCCAAGTGTCGGCGACAACAGAGATGCATTCTACCATCAACAACCACAACAACAACAGCCTCACCACCGCTGTAACCAACAACAACAACAACAACAACAACAACCACCACCACAACAACAACAACAGCAACAACGGCAACGATCGTACCGCAAGTGTTGGAAGCCAGCTCGGCCTCTGAGGGTGTCTTGCAGACCCGCAGGGTCCTGTCATTGCACCCCACCGCGAAAAGACCGCCGTCGGCAGAGAAGCCCACAGACCTCACCGGATGTGACCCGCTGACGAGAATCGTCGGGAAAAATCTGCGGGGGGGGGGGGCTTCCATCACGATAAAATAATAACTCAATGCACGTGCTAGTTTGTCCTCGGGACTCTTTGTCTGTGGACACAACAGCGATTGTTGTATTGTTACACGAAGAAAATAAATAAACAGAAAAAAACATCCTTGGGACGCAATATTCCATAAACCATACCATGACGAAGTGCATACCAATGGAGGTATTTTTCATCCAAGGGAAGGGTGAGGACACACGGCTGTATTTAGCGTTTTGGAACGCGGGCTGGCACGGAGTTCAACAATTATTCTACAACACGACAATTGTAAGCGGGTATTTTGATGTGCAAAATTGTTTGCTGCGGTGACGGTGGCGGCGGAACACGCCTGGCCGGCCGAACTGAGGACGGCGTCCCGACTGAGGTGCTGCACCGATCGAGAGAGCAGGGCATGCTTGGCATGGGCGAATGGACGCGTTTGTGCAACACACGCAAAGCTGTAGTCAAGAACCCAAGACGGTAAGGGGTTGGGGAGGGAAGGGTGGCACCGGCCGGAGATTTCGGGAGGCAGTCAGTCCGCACACCGTGGTGCTAACGGGCGAAAATAACAAGCGTGCTAGAGGTTGACCAGCAACATAGGATGACGTCGCGTCAGCTCGCCAACCAAACCAAAACAATACGGGCTACGCTTCCAATCCAGAACCCTCTGCTTGAAGGGGCAGACTACCCTGTTTGGTGAGCTCTTGAAGACGCGGAAGTGCGCAACCATGCCGATACCGTTACAGTCCGCCCGTCCTCACCTGCTAGCCTCGTCTCCCACGAGCCTGTCGAACGCGTAGCTGTCCACATCCCCCGGGAAGGCTCCTCTGTCACTCCCCCCTGCTTGCCCCGGCCTGCTGGCCCCGCTCATCGCCGCGCGGTAGGACTGCTCCCGCTCCTGCTCCTGCTTCGCCATAGCCGCTCCCGCCGCCACCGCCGCCGCCGCCTCCGTCTCGGCCACCACCGTAGCCCCCCTGCCGGTGGGCTTCGAGCCGCTTGGGTGGCCGTTGCTCCTGTTTCTAGCTGGTCCCGGTTCCTCTGCCGATGGTGGTAGCGACGTCGTTTCTTCGTCGTCTTCGAGGGCGATGGACTGTTCGAGATTCTTCGCCCCCTTCTCAAAGGTGCGCTGCTGCTGCTGCTGCTGCTGCTGCTGCTGCTGCTGGTGCTCTCCTGCGCGTTGCTGCTGAGGTTGGTCCGGATCGGCAACGTGTGAGGACCTCTTCGACTGCCGCTCGGAAGGGCTGTTGGGAAGCGCAAGCGCAGCGGGGCCGAAAATGGGTGGTGTGGTTAGGGGCGACGTGTGTGTGTTTGGGGGGGGGGGGGGGGCAGGCAAACCTTCTGGCGTTTAATCGACTCTGGATGAGACAAAGATGACAGAAGATGGCATGTGTTTGCGAACGAGAACTCAAGTCGGGGGGGAATGGACGGACCATGTCGCGTGACTCCGCCATAGCCAGCCACCACCGACAATAAATAACCCTGGCCTCCAGAGAGCGCTTGTGTTTCGTGGTCTTCCATCAAAGCGGGAAAATAACCACCCGCTTAAACACACACCTTCTGCTGTGCGAACCCGGAGGCTGCCGCCCACCACCACTACCACAACCCTCAGCGCACGCCCGTTCGTACGCCAGCGGCGAAAGCTGTCCGGCGTCTTCCTCCTCCTCCCACTCCAGTCCGCCCCCCGCCGCCGCCTCCGTCTCGCCGAACACGGGCCCCCCCTCGGCGGCATCGTTGTTGCCTGCGGCGCTGGCCGACAAGGGCGACTCTAGGTTTATCCCCCAAGCCAGAGACTTCCTTTCCATGGGCGGGGTCGTCGTCGTCATCGTCGCCTCCTCCTCCTCTGCCGCGTGGGGTGGAGCCGTGTCTCCCGCGTCGAGGTTGATGTCGGGCGGGCTGGTGAAGATCGGGGCAGCGGCAGGCTTGTCCACGTCGCCCAGCATGGGGTTCGCCTTCACGGGTAGCGCACTGGCGTTTCCGTTGGAGGCCGAAGGCCTCGTGCCCAGAGGACGCCGCACCCCCTCCCCCCCCCCTACAACCGACGGATCCCCCCGCTGAAACGCATGGTTGTTCTCCTCCTCCCTGCCACCCTCCTTGCGGGCTCGCGGGGTCTCGCAGTCGCTCTCGCTCTCGCTCCCGCTCCTGCTCCTGCTGCCGACGCTGCTGCCGCCGCTGAAGCTCCCGCCGAAGCTCGGGAGCTGTTTCAGGTTGGACCAGCTCGGCGCCAGGTGCTTGAACCTCGCCGGTATCGCGTTGTTCGCCCCTTCGCTCGCCTTTTCCCCGTTAAGAGAACCCCCTTCCCCACCAGAGCGGGGCACCCCCCCGGCCGCCGTAGCCGCAGTCAAGTACACCCCCGACGACGACCAAACGCCTCCGTTACCGGTAGCACCGCTGCCGCCGCTGCTGTCCATTGGGAATGAAGTAGGCCGGCTGGAGACGAAGGCCCCCGAATGGCTGGACGGTCCAGACAGCCTCCGCGCCTTGGGGCCGGTGGGGCTGTTCAGGCCAGGGAAGTCGGCCTCGCTGTCCATGGAGTCGGAGCGGTGTCGGTGTCGGGAAGATGGGTGTAGGATTCCCTCGTGACTTTCCGGCCCGGTGGACTGGTGTGTAGGGTGACCATTGGGTAGGGGAGGCGGGGGCGGAGGGAGGGAGGGGGGGAGGGG